ACAGGGGCGCGACACCGTGCAGGCGCCGAGCCACGGTGACCGCGGCCGCACTGACAGCGCGCCGGCCCTCAAGGACGCGGCGGGACTCCTCCGGGCGCGGCACGCCCGCGCAAGATGATGAAAGGGAGGACTCACACGCCGAACAATGCGCCTTGACGACAGTGTAGCAACATGGCCTGCTATTTTCGACCGTCTGCCTTCCAGCGTTTACATTCCCTGCGGCCCACTGCACAATGTAAATCAGAGTTCCAACTTGCCCTGACGACGTAGGATTGGCAAATGTTTTTCTTGACGACGATCCCGTTTATACGTTCTAATTACATCTGTTCAGCATTCCAGAGCGCATGAAATGAAAACCGGTTTGATCTGAGCCCGCTCCGAGCTTACCCTTTCTTGCAACATGCAGCCATAAGACACTAAGGCCCCGAGGCCCAGATGCGCGTAATTCAGAGAGCACGGAAGTCAGCGCGGAAGTTATGAGCAGGTCTCATACTATGAGAGATGCGCATGTGTCATGCTGCCGAACAAGCGCCCACTGCTGCCAATTTGAGAACTACATACGATCCGCGCGCCTGGTTGCACGCTTCTTAACGTACGCGGATTGGGATCTCCCCAGCGTTTAAGTGTTCGTTCTCACGGAATACGCACAACATTCGACATATACGATGCTCCGATGCGACATGTGCGAACTGTCTCCTATATGCTTGCTCATACGCCGTCATCGAAAAAGGCCATGGTGACAATGATCTGGGCCAGAGGAATGCGCAGGTTTATCACACAATGCGCGATACTACACATGTTGTGGAGGTATCGAATAAAGCACCCAGCAGGGCCGGTACTTACCGACTTCGGCATGATGGCGGCTTAGTTTTTGCCAGTTAACCTGCAACACACACAAACGCAAACATCAGACCGAGGTAAGCAGATCAGTTGATAGCTGATGAAAGCCGTGTGCATCCGGATTTCAGGAGTAGCACGCATCGCAGCCAAGGGTAAACGCACAATTGAAGTGAGAAAAAAGTAATGAAACTGGACAGGCTAGAAAATGGTTGCACATACATTTAAACAAAAAATCACTACCAACAGTGACTGCACTATGTAAACATCACTGTCAATAGGGGTATTCTTGCATTGTGCTTAAAAAGTAACCAAAACAAGAAAACCATCCTCAAATCCAGAAAATATGCCACAGCCTTCCTATGCTAAACTCAAATTATTGCACGGCAAGCTCAATCCTTCAAGTGCATGACACCACAGGGTCCTTCACTATACATGACTATCTATGCCTGGGATGAGGCTGAATTTCTCACACCTCTGAACCATGCAGGCTAATGCTATTCAGGAAATCAAAATACCAACTGTTGGCACATGTCTCCCTTGGCTGAAAAACATCCGCTTTTCATTTGTGTGACCTATGGCAACAGAGGTCATGAAAAGTACACAAAAGTGGTGCATGTGTTCCCACTTAGTTAGGTCTAAAAGCCTTGCATAGGACATCACAAAAAACAGCCCTCACTTTTGCCTTAGCTGATGGTTCAAAGCTGTCTTAAGTTAGGCTCATGCTGATACTGTAGTTGAGTTGTGTATTGTGGGTTTGTATCCAATCATGAAAATAATGTTCAATACCCTAAAGTAAAGCTGCAATGCTCGAAGCACTATAATTGCCAAATCAGCAATCAATAAGCAAGAACAACTGAACCATGATAGCAGTACCATGTGCATGGTTCCCAATTAATGACATACCAAGTGTGTTGTTGATCATATATACCATGAGGGCACATAAACGCACTCCAAATATGCTTGTTAGGACAAACTGCACATACAAACTTCACCAACAAGAATTTAAGCACAATGATTTCAATCAAATAAAGACATCAAGATACAACAGTGCCAAAAAAAAACATGGAATATGTTACCAGATTCAAACAGTAAAAAGTAACAAAATATGTGCCTTTTAGCACTTAACATAAAGAAGGCAAAAACTGAGCAGCATGCACCAGGAAAAATCAAGAATCCAGAACTCCAACAACAAAGACATCAAACAAATGGAGCAGTCATGCTTGACCCAGCAAGGGTAATGCTATGAGATGTTTGTGGCTCTCGACATCTTATAATGATCATCAAAGGACAGTCCTCCAGAACTGCAAATTTAAATACCTTCCATGCTGGTCACAACTGGACTAGAAAATGGCATCATTTTAAGTCACACAAACGTGACTAAGAAAATGACATGACAATGACACCTATATCCAAGTGTGACAATGATACTGCAAACAGAATCCAGCATAATACTACTCTTGGATGATAAATTATGCTCTTGGTTCAGGCACATCTCACCCAAAGCCATAAACATGGCATACCTCATTTAACATAACAATTAAAAGTACATTCCAACACAACACTCTCAGCATTTGTACCACTTTATGCTTGCATTATCAAGATCCAAACACAAACCCAAACTAGCAAAACATGTAATATCCACCTGCATTTTTAGAATCTTACATACAGCTGTAGCCAGATATCTGCAATCAACACATGTAGATATAAAGTGACATTTTATATGGCATGTGTCTAAGTTGTAATATCTTCTGTTGCCTAATAACCCTTACAACTGTTTAGTTTACCAACACTGCAAATTATCCAAACCCTAGCTTGCAAGATGGGCAATAAGCAGTGCTTTTCCAAGGCCCAAAATTTTGAGAGCACTCATAATTTATGAGCAGAGAACCACAGGTTTAAATGCACTTCAGATAGCCTTGAGGATAGTTTTGGAACAAGATAAGCTGTGAGATGCATTAAAGCATCATACAAAGCTTTTTGGCAAATCTTTTTAGAGGCAAACATTCAAGTTGGGATGAATCTGGATGCAATTGCTATATACCCCCCTTTCACACCACATGTCATGCATGTATTCCTTGTGCACAACCAGATTAAACCTCCTGATGCTACTAACATTTGATTCCTTATCTTGTAATGAAATAAGCATTCCATTATGGTCACTTAAGATAGTCTGTGGTCACGCATATAAGAAGCCACTACAAATGACACATTTCAGTGTTAGCAGTAATGACATACTAAAATAACCTGATGGTCATTTTAAGTATGGAATTCTGAAATCACAACTACTGCAGTTTTGCAGCAGAATTTAACACATCATAAGGATTCTGGGTTTTGCCACATAAGTAAAGATAGCTTCTATGTCAAAATGCAATGCAGACTCAACACATAATAGAAGGCATTATTTGACAACAAACATCTACACAATATCCAAGAGTAAGTGGGGCAAGGCTCATCTTTGTGTTTTGACTTTTGGCCAACCCAGCATTCCAAGGGGCCCGGGAAAGGGACAGGCAGAGATCCACATTAGGTTTAGCACATATCCAATGAGCCAGATAGTAGGTCTGCAAATGATGTTACTTGGAATACTATCTTTTGAAATTGTTTGTTTTTATGATTTGATTTTGTACCACTTTGCCTGGAACCATTCTTTATAGTTGACATTTACTTCTTTATAACCAGCTACACCCTGGTGCCATAACATAGAATTGATCCCATGTATCAAAGTGGATTCCAGAACTGCAGTTGACTTGTGGTTGGTCATAATGGTTCACTGGTATATGCCTGTCAATATTAATTATGGGTTACATGCATGATACTAACAATTAAGGACTAAAATTGATGATAAATTTAAGCTACAATCTGAGGTACGAAATGTTCACAGGCCTTTGTGTTACAGCACACAAAAATCTAGCTGTACTATGTAATCACAACATTTCCTATCTAAAACTCTACTATAATTATGGCACTTCTAGGATTCTCAAGCAAATCAATTTCACATAATCACAGACATGTTTCAAACTAATTCGAAATCATAATCAAGAACACGGCCCTGAGCACACAGTGACGAGGGAGTAAACTAGCGCAGACCGGCCCAATGACTGACCAGCAGCGAGGATGGAATATCGGAAATGGTTTCTCGCAAGCAACAGGTGGTTCCGGCGACGCACACACACACCAAGCGCGCCATAGCAGCCTGCGCCAATTTCGAGTCCACAGCGAAACCCTTGAAATTCAAAGCAATAGTGCGTCAATGACAATAGATGCATGCATGACAGCACAAAAACTGTTCGCCGCCGCCAACATTTACCTGGTCAAAACGTCCAGAACAGAAATTAAACACGTATTCGTCACGCCACCGGCGGACAAACGGCCACCACCCAATCCTCGACAGCGAAGGTTCGTTCCGCAGTCTGTGGTCATGTGACATCGAACCACTTTTCAGCTGTTGCTGTTGATCGGAATCTTGTTATAGCACGTGTTATGTCATGTGTTGGTTTACGGGCAACAATTAATTTTTTTTAGACTAAAGTAATATTTTTGACAACAAACTGTGCACATCAATGCTTGTTGCTGCTCATGAGAAACTTAGCTCTAAATTTGTTAAAATTCGGGTAAATGAAAGTAAAAACATTGTTGCACTCGAAAAGAAAAGAAACCAAGGCATCAGTTTGCGAAATAAATGTTTTTGACATCACTGATACGACAAATATGCATCACATGAAGCGCCTATCTAATGCATTCTGAGGCCCAGTTTCGGGCATGTCATATTAAGCGAGCGGGTCATGCTCAGAAGACGACCATAGCCCATGTATTCGTTCTTTGATTTCCAGGAACCAGGAACGTAGGCTTGAAGCACGTGTCACCTACTCGTGCCATGGACATACACAAGACACTGATCTCTGTGCTCTTGTGCATCATTTTCTCCTAAAAGTCTACCACGCTAATGCTGATGGGTTCGGCTGGCTCCCAATAAAAAACAAAAATGAGGAAATAAAACCGTGCAAGCATTTTGCCATCTTGGGCCTTCATTTCATAACTTTTTCGAGACTTGCACTGGTATTTCATTAGTACTTGGCACCACAGACATGGCGCAAATCTAAACAAAGGTCTGTAACGGCGCAGCTTCGACGAACAGTTGGTGAGAGCACAAGGGCCTGGCTACTGAATGGTTAATATTATTGCGTTTTATGAGCGATGGCACCAGCTGAAAGTTGTAGTCGAAAACAAGGGTAATATCTTCCACACCAGGTAACTTTGGTTTTACACTGGTTTCTTTTATTGCATTTTGTTGGCGTTTCATGTTCCTGGACTGATACTAATGCTGACAACATGCCAACTATGATGTTTTCACCTACATTAAGTAACCACCAAAGGAGATTTTTAACCAATAGCTATGATCCCTTATAAAGAGTTTATCAATTGTGTCATACTTCAACAACTGGATGAGGTGCGTTTTAAGTTTGTTAGCATTCTTTTGGTTTGTCCATATTGGTCAACAAATTCCTATTGGACCAAGTATATTGTGACAAAATGGGTGCTGGTTGGGGTTCGCATAAGGTATGTCAGGTGACAATCTTACCAGAATATGTGGATCTTCCTGTTCCACTATGGGTCAGGTACCTAATTTGATAACTCGGTGATATGTGCCCACCCTTCCTGCCAGCGTGATGCACAGGGGATGCCTTAACTTCAGCAGCTGAGTTCGGTGTAAAGCCTTAAAGAGAACAGCAGTTTTTGTTAACGCCCTCATATATATATATATATATATATATTTTTTTTTTCTTGATGTGCATAGTTTGATTCTATTACCATAAAATTGGCATCCAGGTCCAACCAAGTCAGGACAACTGAACTGGTGGAAACTGGCTCAGTGACACCTGATCCAAGGCAGCTGAATCACCAACAGCTGATTCAGGATAACAATCGGGAACAGCTAAATCAGTCATAGCTGAGTCTGTAACAACTGAACCAGAGACACCCTTTGGACAGTTTTTTTTTTGCTGCCCATAGGCACACTGCAAATAACCCCAAAAAGAGCTAGACTCAATTCTGAGATGTGCCTGCTGCTGCTTCCACAGGTGTTGGAGTGTCAAGGATGAGGATACACTGTGCATGTGCTCTGCATTTTCTATCTCGTGCACTGAGATGCTAATGGTGATCACATTGGTTGTCTGGTTACTGGCTGGCTCTCACATTGTTCAATTTCTGAGCTGTGGAATATGCAACACAATGTGACAAATAATGTTCATGTATGGCAGATCGATATCTTGCATCAAGTGCGTGCCTAGATGTGCCTTGCCCACTGTTGTACACATGAACATACAAGTGAACATTGTTTGGAAGTATTGCTACTGTTTTACAGTTAGTCATGAGCTCACCAAGCAGAGGAGAGTGGTTGAAGCCCAAGGATGCATTCCAAAAACTAAAGGCCAAGAAAAAGGCCCTAAAGGCCAGAATAAATCAAAGCATTAGAAAGGAAGCCCTCGCATCCAGCCAGATATCTTCTAGTTTAAATAGCTGTAAGCAAAAGCGCACAAACCCTTTCAGGTGAGTATGAGATCTTTGCCTAAGTGGATTATTAAATGATGGATGTTTATTTTGTTTCCATTATGCAACAATGGTCATTGGTAGAAGCAACACATCTGAAAAACCAAATGTATGTCTTCAGTGTTTCTATGCTGAGATGTTTTCGGTGGATTTCTAAAAGTTTGAGTTTTCTTGGCACAAGTTGCGTTTTTGGAGTGACTGTTAACCATATGCATGCCAATAAGCCACCTCAGCATGACGACGTGCCACGCCCTGCCCAGCTGCGGAGGAGACGACGGTGGCGACGCCAAGCAGGCGCGGCTGGAGGCCAGCCCGCCCGAACCCTCCCTCGATCAGACGCTGTTCGAGATCCTGCGCTCGGGCGCCGGTGACTTGCGCGCGCCGGCGCGTGCTCGGCCTGGCCCGGCGCCGGCCGCCGACGCCGCCTCGTTCGCGGGCCTGCTCTCCGGCGCCGCCGATCGCCTCGGCGAGGCGGCGCCGCCCCGGCTCTCCACCCCGCAGGTGAGGAGACGGGCGGCCGCCTGCGAAGACGGGTGACGAGGCGACGTCGAGCGCCGAGGCGAGCGGGAAGAGGCAGGTGGATGTGACGACGTGGCTGGAGCACGGCCTGGCAGGATGTACAGTGTGCAGTAGTGATGGTGGCGAGGTCACCGTACAATGCGACTGAGGGTGTCATTGCTGCATTTTGAGTAATTAGACGTCGATAGGTCATGCGTGTGTGATAAAGGCTAAACCCTCATCATAAGTACCATTGCATTGGAAGTCCTCAATTTGCAACAGTGCTGAAACATAGTAGATGCAATTCCAGGTCGAAGAGGCTCCAAAAGGTGAACGCAACTTACCCACTGACTGGGGTTTGAAGACGAAGATCCGTTTCCTATCGAAAACGCCGTTTCCGTGGACGAGTCGTCTGAAGGTTCGTATCTACTGTGCCATCGTGCAGGATATTTGGCCATTAGGCATCAGACATGTGAGCGGGTTGCGGTGCCGCCTGAACGGTACCTCGGCCGGGCGCCCCGCATGCGCCGGCCCGGTGGCCCGCCCCTTTTTCTTAGTTCACCTCTTCCTCGCGAGCGAGGACTGCGCTGGAAATAACGTTATTCGGACTCCTTTAACCGGCCTTTCGAACCACACCTCCGATTCCGATTCTCCACTACCACAGAGCGCCGTTCTTCCTCGTGTAGTGTTCTTTTGGTTCTTATATGCGTGTGATGTGCCCACCCACGTGCCCACCTCCGCCAAACTGCACGAGCCGGCAGCTCAGCGTCTGGAACACGCTTCGGGAAAGCCGTGTCTGTGCATGTTGCGATCCTGTGCTGCGTCTGATGACGGCTGAGGCGGGCGGGATGCGTCCGCCAGACGCTGGAGGAGGCGTCGGCGGTGACCAGCTGCGTACGCTGCCTGCCGGCCGACCAGAGCACGCTCGACACGTCTCCAAACGCGCAGCTGCAGCGGCACGCGCTCTACTGGCAGCACCCGTGGCTGCCGTGGCTGACGCTGTTTCCGCGCCTGCACAGCCGGGTGGCCGGCGCGCGCAGCCTCTTCATCGACGCGCCCATGCAGGACCTGCTCAGGACAGAATGGTGAGCGGCAGCGGTGGTGAGCGGCACCGTGCCGCCCATGCGTGCCTGTCCGTGTTCTGCGTGGGTCAGTCTGGCTTGCGTCTCCAGTGGGAAGCACGTATATCGCTCACTCCTGCTCATCGTCCATCTTCTTCTCATGCTGATCTCATGCTATGGTGGGTAAAAACCTTGCTTATTTGTTGTGCAGATTTGCTCGCTTCCCCGGCGTGTCTATTCCCCTACCTCTTCCTTACGCCACACTACGTTGCCCGGCCCCTCCCCGCGCCCACGTCCCTTCACCACATATCTAACATCTCTTCCTCCCCCCCCCCCTCCCAAACCCAATCACGTTCCTATCCTATGACCCCGCCTTTTCCCCGCCACTTATGCTTGTCACGCTGTCCTCCAACAGTTTCGCCTACCTCGTCCTTCCCCACAGCGTATGTGCTAGCTAGCTTACTGCTACTTACTTACTAGCTTAGCTAGCTTACCTGTCCTGCACCATCCCTGCCCTCCCCAGCACAGCTTCCTTCCATACTCTTCCAGAGGCGAGAGTCTGCCACGTGTGCACCACTGATCGTCCCCCGGCTCCCTGTCCCGGCTCCTCCAGAGGCCAGAGTCTGCCGTGGGTGTACCCCTGGCCGTCCTTCGTTTCCTTCAGGGGCGAGGGTCTGCCGTGTTTGCACCCCTGACCGTCCTCCGGCTCCTTCAGGGGCGAGGGTCTGCCGTGTTTGCACCCCTGACCGTCCTCCGGCTCCTTCAGGGGCGAGGGTCTGCCGTGTTTGCACCCCTGACCGTCCTCCGGCTCCTTCTGGGGCGAAAGTCTGCCGTGTTTGTACCCCTGACCGTCCTCCGGCTCCTTTAGGGGCGAGAGTCTGCCGTGCTTGCACCGATGACCGTCCTCCAGTTCCCCCAGAGGCGGGTGTGCGTGTATGTTCACCTAACCGTCCCTCGGCTGCTCCAGAGACGAGAGTCTGCCGTATGTGTGCACTCCTGACTCCCGACACCTCCAGAGACGAGAGTCTGCCGTATGTGTGCACCCCTGACTCCCGACTCCTCCAGGGGTGAGAGTCTGCCGTATATGTGCACCCCTGACTCCCGACTCCTCCAGGGGCGGAAGTCTGCCGTATGTGTGCACCCCTGACTTCCGACTCTTCCAGGGGCGAGAGTCTGCGCTCGCTGTTCCAGCTGCTGCGCAGCCGTCAGTGCCCGTTCTTCTACGTGTGCGCGGCCAGCTTCTGCTGCCTGTTCCGGGCGGCCGGCGTGGGCGGCGTGACTGACACGCACGCTATCGTCACGCCCACCACCCGCGGCCTGCGCGACCTCCTCAAACGCGACGGTGAGCCGCCGCACCGGCGCCAGCGGCGCGCCGCCACGCGCCTGCTGGCTTGTGCACGATGGAATGTGGCCCATTGCTGGTTTCACTGTGTAAGGTGTATTAGTGCGGTGTTGCTGGTGCGGGTGGCTCGCAACAGCTCGCTAATTGTCCCTGGTCACGTGTGTGTAGATATGTGAGATGCGGTAGTGTTCGTGATTCAGAAATAAACACCTACCATTGTTGCTCAAGTGGTATTATAAACTTGGATGTGCTATGTAAGCTATTACCTCCGCATCTCTTCCTTAACGATAAAAAGCCGTTTAGTTGCATGCAACAGCCTCCCCTGTGAGTGTGGTAGAAACAGCTTCAGCTGTTCAGTGTATATGTTATGATGCCTGGTCTTCTATGAACAAGTTGAATCGCTAAAGCTCTTTGATAGCCAAATTCACCTGTGCTGTGTTTGTAAATTATCATTGCCGCTACTACAGTGTTGGTTCATTGGTGGCCCATAGACTGGAGTGGCTCGTGAACAAGATCGTAGTTTGAATTTTGTCTCCTAGATGGCAGCTTGATATATTGTTTCAGTTGCGTTGGATAGATGGCAGCACTGTGCATGTCTGGGCTTTCATCCTGGCCTAAATATGTGGACCGGAAAGCAGCTCTCTTTAAAGCGTTTAAAGCAGCCTGACGCAATCCCACTATGTCCGGTTATAGGCTCAGGTACACACTCGATATGGCAGGATTATTGGCCCTCGTGCGTGCTCGGAGTTCTTATGCTCTAGGTGCGGCGATGTTCTCGATGCTCATGTTCGATGGTTGCTAACGCATGCCAGTGAACGGCTTAGGGGGTAAGGTTCTGTAACGAGACCTCCTGCGATGACTGCAGTATGGCCCCATCGTGCCTCTCCCTCATCCCAAAGCCCTGACATAATCATGGGTGACCAGGTGAGCTCTACTCACGGCCGACACGAGCTGTCGGCGGCGGCCGCACCCATACACGGTTCTGGCCTGTGCTCGACAGACGTGCAGTTCACGCTGCCGCTGCGGCCTGCCGCCGCGCCGGCCCAGTCCGCCGCCCAGGAGGACGGCTCCGAGGACGAGGACGAGGACCCCGAACACTGGCTGGAGAGCAAAGGCATAGCGGCTGACGCCATGCCAGGCATGCACTCCACCCGCCGCAAGCTGTATCCTTTGCAGGGGAGGAGGAGGAGGAGGGGGAGGACAGTACCGGTCCTCTTACCCTCTCACACTGTGGATTGTGTATTGTTTGTTTTGACGTAACAGTTGTCATCAGTTTTGCCTGCGTAAGGAATGGTCCGAACTGCCGACCGGTGCGCATTTTTTATCCTCTTTTTGATTCATTGCCTTTACTTGTTGTATGCTGATGCAGCTGCTTCCTCTCTCACCAACCTCTATTTTCCACCCGGCTTCCTTGCACTAGCTCTGTCTGACGTCGCTAGCATGCTGCACCTGACAACTATCTTCCCAAGCCAGCATTTCCTCGCGTATCCTGGCTTTTTGTAAAAGTCCGGTAACAGCTTTTCATCATTGAACTGTAGCGTATAGTTCAGCTAAGTGTGGCATGAGAGCACAATCAGGACTTTGCTTCAACTTTATATGCACTGAATGGCGTAGAGGTTCGTTTTACCATGACAAGGTTAATCCGGCAGCGTTGGTTAGTGGTTACGTAAATGAAAACACTCGACAGAGCGTGACAAACCACCCGGTGGGTTCATTTGAATCTAATTCGACTGCAAATTTTGGTACCGTGCCGGCCGGTATAAGCTGTGTACGTGACTGTTAACTGCTGTCACCCCTGCTTAAAACTGTGCGATGACGTGGCATATAAGGGCTCCAAATCATAATCCCACAATCATTACTTTATTTTATTGCAGTATCTTACTTAGCGAACAAAATCTGGCAATTCTTAGCGTGGCTCAAAATCGGTTAAGCCAATGTGTAGGCCGGGGTCCAAGTAGTAAACACCAAAACGGGTTTCGAGTGATCTACCACACACCAACCCGGGTTCCTAGTGACCTACCGCACACCAACACGGCTTCGAGTGACCCACCGCATACCGGCACGGCTTGCTAGTGACCTACACGGGCTTACCAACACGGGTTTCGAGCGACCTACCGCATACCAAAACGGCTTCCTGGTGACCTACGGCATACCGGCACGGGTTCCGAGTGGCCTACCGCATACCAACACGGCTTCCGAGTGACCTACCGCATACCGGCACTGGTTCCGAGCGACCTACCACATGCCAGCACGGGTTCGTAGTGACCTTCGGTACCCCAACACGGGTTCCAAGTGACCTAATGCACACCAACACGGGTACTCACAACCACGCATCTGTTGCCAAAACGGAAATATGTGCGTGTGGCTGGTCCTCATGTGTCGTTCGCCCGTCACGCACTCATGGCCATCCAGATGTCGTCCCTGTTCTGCTTACGCTGGGAATGCGCCCTGCATTTGTTGATCACCATTATGAATTCAGAGTCATTATGCTAACAGTTTTTGGCCGTCAGTATATCAGGAGGTGATGGTTAAACGCCGCTATCAAGGAAATATTTGTTAGGCACGAGTGGAAAATGTGAAGCAAAGTTGAGCTAAGTTGGTAAATCATACACAAAGCACCATGCCTTCAGACTCATAAGCGCAAGAGTACTAAATGGGTCAAAACAATATCGCTATATTTTGCGCGAAAGTCCTTCGTCGGATTACTTTGTATCTATAGATCATCCGACAAAGCATTGCTATTCGAAATGTTATCAGTTATGTTTGCCTATTTAGTACTTTTTGTGCTTATATGATAGCAGCCAAGGACTTATGTGCATTATCAAGTACGAATCGGCCCAGGAAAGGTTAGATATTTTTAGATTTCATTAATGCTATCCTAAAAAGCCGCCCATTTTAACGATACCAACAATCGCCCGAAAGCTGTTTTTCGTTTCACGTGCTACTCTGCTGTCCGACTACAGTTCCGTAACAAACGAAAAGTCGTTCCCATCGTGCCTGAACGGTGTCAGGTGGGACACGCGCCCAAGCTGGCGCATGCCGTCAGAGGTCGCATGTGTCTGATTTAGCGTTGCTATGTCGTGTGCGAGCTATCGCTAGTCCTAGTCTACTCTGCCTTTGCATTGACCCCGACAAAGCGCAGACATAAGGGCGGTTGGGGAAGGTTTATTCGATTCCATTTTTTGTTGCTCAAATGTTCGCTCATCGGCGTAATCAGGGTAGTGGGTGGTTTCGATATTACAACAGCTGTATAGCAACCGAAGGGTCTTGAGCGGGAGTAATATATTAGTATTATTTGTTGCAAAGTGTCTACCGCGGTGGTGGTTGCGGTGGATCACCTGCGGACTTACCTGCGTTAGTAAATAATCTACGGATTTATCTGGGAACTTCCACGGTCCGACGGCCCTGTATACCTGCAAGATTTTTTGGAACACTTCAGAGCGTTCATGCTGCACGTCATAAGTCTTCGTGAAAAAGCTAATACACCTCGTGCGATGTCGGAGATAGCGCTTCAGTCGGGGCCCGTCGTTCTCGGGGGATGACTGTGGGGTCTTCCGAGTACGGCGATCACCCCCGCCAGTGACCTTCATTCGTTTGATGGCTTGTTTGAGCGACATCTAAAACCTCGTTTTGGTTTTGATATTCGTACCTGCTGGAGCGGTGCGGTGATGTGATGCTCGGGGGCGGGGGATGGGGGGGGGGGGGGGGAGGGGGCAGATTGGCCTCCATGTATGGGTCTGTTCGCGGTCGGGTATTTCCTGAGCTGGCCGGTGCAGTCAGGAGGAGACCGGCGCGGCCTCGACGACGCCAGCCGGCCTCCCCGTGCTGGTGCAGGGCGGCGACTGTACGCCTGCTCAACTTCCTGCTCAACTCGCGCGCCTGCGTCACGGCCAGCGGCCCGCTGGCGGGCGTGCCGCCCACGCTGCTGGCGGCCCGTCGGCTTCCAGGGCGCCTCCCTGCAGCCCTCAAGGTACGGCCGCGGCGGCGGCCGCGCTGCTGAGCGGGATGTTCACATTGGGAGGCTTTCTGGTCACACTGTGTTGGGCGTGGGCGTGACCCGACGAGCTGCCCAATGACCTCACTCTGTCCTCGTTCGCGCTGTGTGATGAAGCCTCCCCCATTAGATCGACCGTCTCCTGTTGCCGGCTCCCCGGCGTCCAGCCGTCCTCTCTGTATTCGCGTGCGGGCTCCTGCCTGGCTGCCCAGTCGGTGAGCAGCGCCGTCGCAGCCTGCCCCGCCAGTGCCCTCACCCCTGCGCCTCCTCCCCGCCCGGCAGGTGCGGCACGGCACGGTGCAGCAGGCCCGCGAGACGTTCCACTCGTTCGAGCTGGCCGGCCCCGTCATGCCGCACGCCGTGCAGGCGTTGGTGGCGCTCGTGCGCCGCTCGCACGCCCACTTCTCGCTGTCGCTGAGGCGGCGTGCGGGGCGCGGAGCCGCTGGCGCAGCTGCGGCCGCCGGCGGCGCCGCCCGCGCCAGCCGTATTCGGCCAGCAGGGCCTGACCGACTGCGGTCTGGACGGCCCGCTGTGGCCACGCTCTGCGAGCCGGCGCCGGCCGCCGCCGCCGCCGTCCTCCGCGAGGTCACCTG